GGATAATAGATTCTGGAGAATCTGACCATATGACTGGCTTGCCGTCACTATTTACTACCTATCACTTATCTTCAGGAAGAGACAAAGTGTCCATTGCTGATGGCTCCCTCGTTCCTATTTTTGGCAAGGGAGACATCAAGTTGTCTAATGCTATTTCCTTATCTTTGGTTTTGCATGTTCCTAAGCTTAGTACTAACTTGCTTTCAGTTAGTAGCATTACAAAAAACCAGAATTGTTCAGTAACCTTTTTTTTTCCGAATCGATGTGTTTTTCAAGATCTGGAGACAAGGAATGTGATTAGGACTGGTCATGAGGCAAATGGAGTCTATCTACTTGGAGGGAGTCCTCATTGGAAAGAGAGTGAGACTAAGAGGTCTTGTGTTTCTCAGTCTGTTGATCAAGCTATGCTTTGGCATAATAGGATGGGTTATTTATCTTTTTGGGCTTTGAAGAGTTTGTTTCCTAGTTTATTTGAATCTATCCAGATGTCTAGTTTGAAATGTGAGAGTTGTGGACTTGCAAAACACTGCAGGACAACATATTCATTAAGTAATAATAAAAGTAATATTCCCTTTGAAATTGTGCATACTGATGTTTGGGGACCTTACCATACCACTGCCATGGGGGGGTACAGATATTTCCTACTGTTTGTTGATGATTATACTCGTTTTTCGTGGATTTATCTCATGCGTTCTCGAGATGAGGTTCCAACATTAACCCGGATCTTTCATCAAATGATTTTAACCCAATTTAGGGTCAAAATCAAAATTTTTAGATCTGATAATGCGAAAGAATATTTTGCAAACCCATTAGCCTCCTATTTGCTTGAACATGGGATTATCCATCAGAGTACCTGTCCTCGTACACCACAGTAAAATGGGGTTGCTGCGAGAAAGAATAGACACATATTGGAGGTAGCCAAAAACATTATGTTTACCTCCAATGTGCCTATACGTTTCTGGGGGATGCTATTCTTACAGCAGTGTATCTCATCAATAGGATTCCTTCACGGGTTCTTGACATAAAATCTCCATTTACCCTCTTATATCCTGATAAAAAGTTATTTACCATTCCCCTTAAAACCTTTGGTTGTACATGCTTTGTTCAGATTCTTGGCCCTCATCGTTCTAAGTTTTATCCTAAGGCCTCAAAATGTATTTTCCTTGGTTATACACAAACTCAAAAGGGATATTGCTGCTATGAACCTACTTCTGGGAAAAGATTTGTCGCAATGGATGTCACTTTCTTTGAAAATGTACCCTATTATCCAAGGGTTTCTCCTCAGGGGGAGAGTAGTAAGGATGGGGTTGCCTCGTCAGAAGTTCCTTTACCTATCCCATTAAGTGAAGAGGGGTGTAATGGGGAGGGTTGTCAGAAATGCAGGGATGTGAGAGTCTATCACAGATGATGGAGACAGGTTGATTTCGGGCATCAATAGTGTAGGCCAATCCTAGTCTCCTTTGTAGATCCAGATCCTGGTACCACAGTAGCCCCAGTTCCTTCTACAGAGCTAGATCCAGGTACCACAAATACTACAGATGAAAGACATCCCACCATGGAGCATTCACCTTCATTAGATGATCTTGATCTTCCCATAGCAGTTCGTAAGGGCAAGCGTCGTTGCACCACATCTACAGCTCACAGCATTTCTCAGTTCTTGTCCTACGATCATTTGTGTCCCTCCTATAAGTCTTTTCTCGCATCCATTACCAATGTTCCCATTCCCAGAACAATACAGGAAGCATTGGAAGTACCAGAATGGAAAGATGCAATAAAAGCATAAATGGATGCCCTCATCAGAAACAATACTTGGGAGATAGTTGATCAGCCTAAAGGTAAGAAACCGGTTGGATGTAGATGGGTATTCACTGTGAAACATAATATTGATGGTTCTATTGAAAGGTATAAGGCCCGGTTAGTTGCAAAAGGATTTACTCAGACATATGGTATTGACTACTTGGAAACTTTTGCACCAGTCGCAAAGATGACCACTACCAGAGTCTTATTATCTCTTGCAGCCAGTTACTCTTGGCCGTTATATCATATGGATGTTAAAAATGTCTTCCTCAACGGAGACTTGCAAGAAGAGGTTTACATGCAGTTGCCTCCTAGATTTTATGGTACAGAGACAGGAAAGAAGGTTTGTCGGTTGAATAAAGCCTTGTAAGGACTAAAATAGTCCCCCAGAGCTTGGTTTGATAGATTTAGACAAGCCCTTGAAAGGTTCGGATATGTACAGGCCCAGTCAGACCACACCTTGTTTATTAAGAGAGTGGATTCTTCCTTAACCTTGCTTGCTGTATATGTCGATGATATTGTAGTAATAGGAAATGATAATACTGAGATTGAGTCCCTTAAGCAACTCCTTCATCAAGAGTTTGAGGTAAAAGATCTGGGAGAACTACAATACTTCTTGGGCATTGAGGTAGCCAGATCCAAGAATGGGATTTTTGTTTCTCAAAGAAAGTATGTTCTTGACCTGTTAGAAAATACAGGAAAGTTGGGTGCTAAGCCTGCTGTCACACCCATTGAACAAAATCACAAGATCAATGCAGAGGGTGGAGAACCCCTTGAAGATAAAGCTATGTTCCAACAGTTAGTTGGAAAACTTCTCTATCTCTGTCTCACTCAACCCGACATCAGTTATGCAATCAGTGTGGTTAGTCAATATATGCACTCTCCTAAGACTACTCACCTCCTTGTAGTTGAGAGGATACTAGCATATTTGAAGAGGTGCCCAGGCAAAGGCATTTTATTCAAGAATAATGATCACATGAAGATAGAAATTTTCACAGATACTGATTGGGATAGGTGTGTTGATGATCGAAGATCTACCTCTGGATGTTGTGCTTTTGTATAAAGTAACCTTGTCTCTTGGAGGAGTAACAAACAAAATGTTGTTTCTCATTCCAGTGCTGAAGATGAATGTAGGTCCATGGCAAATGGTGTAGCTGAGATCCTATGGTTGAGATCATTATTTGAGGAGTTAGGTATTGTTTATAAGAAACCCTTGATGTTGTACTGTGATAATCAAGCTGCCATCAATATAGCCCATAATCCGGTACAACACGACAGGACTAAGCATATTGAAGTGGATCGACATTTTATCAAAGAAAGGGTTACATCTCAAGAAGTATGTCTTCCATACATCACCTCCGACATGCAGCTAGCAGACCTTCTCACCAAGGCGGTTTCAAAGAAGAAGTTAGAAGTAGATCTATGCAAGTTGGGAATGACAAACATCTATTCCCAACTTGAGGGGGAGTGTAGAGAACACTAATGTGGACCCCACTAAGGTGGTCCCCACTGTTCGTACGTCAGCAATAAGTTATGATTAGGATTAGTTCTTTATGATAAAATTAGGACTAGTCTTTTATAAGATTAGGATTAGTCTTTTTTCAGCTTTATCTTATCTTGTTATCCTATCTTATCTTGCCATGTAAGCAATTCAATTCTTTTACAAGTATGATACTATGTATATAAATTTAAGAGGGGGGCAGCTGTTTAAACACATCAACCCAACTCTCTTTTATCAAAATCTCTCTCGAACACACACCCTCTCTCTCTCTTTTCTCCCTCTTCTTTTCTTTTTTTTTTTCCTTCTCCTTTTAAGTGTTTGTTCAATCTTGATCGACTACTATTTCCTTTAAACTTTGATGGAAGCACTTCAGGTAACCCGGGTTTAGCTGGCATTGGAGGTTGTTTGAGGGATGAAAGGGGTAATACTTGCTGGACTTTTAGTGGTCCAATTGGTTTGGCTGACTCTACAAAAGCTGAAGTAATAGCAGCTCTTACAGGAATCAGAATAGTGAAAAATCTGCAAATTAAGAACTTAATAATTGCAGGGGACTCAGCAAATACCATAAAATGGTTAAAGGAAAAGGAGGGGGACCTTGGAGACTGAACCATTACTTGGCAGAGGCTAGGGACTCCCCAAACTGCCTAAATGCAAGATTAACTTGGATTCCAAGGGAACTAAATCACATAGCATAGCCAAATGGGGTGTATTTCTGGAAGAACTGTATAGTGATAGAATTCCTCCTCCATAAGCTTTGGGGTTCTACCCCTACTATGTACATCTTCTCATGTACTTTTCTTGCTTTAATGAAATTTGGTTAAACTCTCCTCAAAAAATAATAATAATAAGCAACTGTTACAAGCTTCCCCAATGGAGGCACGAGATGCAGCCTCACTGATTAAAAAAAAAAAAAAAAGACAGCAGTCACAGCACAAGAATTACAATTGATCCCTGGTTACCCCTTGCTTAGCTTATGAACAAGTCGTCGCATTTGTCCCCCTCCTCACCCATTGTATAATCAAGCTCATATACTGTGTTAGCCATTTGAATTTCTTCATTTCGTCTCAATAGCACCATACCACTGAATCTGGGTCTTTTAACCAGCCCACCACACCTTGGAGTCCCCTTCAATCACCAGGTTTTCCAAGTTCATCTCTTTTGCAATCTGAACACCTTGTAGGACTGCAAACAGTTCAGCCCTTATAGAGTCTCCGTTCCCCACCGGTCCTGAAAAAAGTGTTATCAGATTCCCTTCCCCATCTCTTATAACACCTTTTGACTGTGAAAGGTTGATGGTTGCGGGTGATTATCATCAACTGATTTGCAGAATGGCCCAGGGACTATTCTCATTTACCAGAGAAATGTATTCAGAGAGAATCTCTCTTGTGATAATAGTCTTCAGGTGTTTTTAGGCATGCGGTTTTTTGCACATGATGCCAATTACGATATGGAAAACAGTTATCTTCTGCCACTTCTTTTTTTCTGATTAGTAACAATGATCAAAGAGCTTAGTTAAGATGAAGCAAAATACCCCTTTGTTAATAACTCTAACAGCAGAGAAGAGCCTTTTCTTTAAATCTTTTTCTGAGAAAAAATTAATAGAAAAGCCCACATTAATTTCTTTATCAGTACCTAGTGTACATATTGCTGGTTTTTGAATTCCAATGCAACACCAGAATTTGGGCATTAGTTGAAACCATACCTCATCATTTAGAGCAACAAAAACAGCACTAAGACTATCAGCCTGTGCCAGAAAATCATCAAATCCCCCGTTTCCATACAGAGATGAAAAGACTGAGTGTCTAACACTAACATCAGCATCTGCAACAGCTGCAATGAGAAGCTTTTCCACAATCTGTAGAAAATACAGATTAGTCAACACTTAAATCATGTCAGTAGTTTATTTAAGTATAAGAAACTTGTAAAATTTGCAATTATGTCGGTAGTTTATTTAGAATCAAAAGGTTTCAAGTTGGACAAAGAGAACAAAAAACAAAACATGCATTGCAATTTTTTAGCAACAAGTGATCGGGAAATGCCCCAAAGGCCCAAACTAACTACTTTGATACCTTGGATCAATCAAACATAATGAGAGAGATCAAAGATGTTGCCCAAATAGAACAAGGTGGTTAAAGTGTATAGGTGAAAGTGCAACTAAAAGGAAAATTCTTCAAAACAGTTATAAGTCCAAAATTGTTATATTCAAGGTTCAAAATATTGCAATGTATCAGTTCTTGTGCAATACAATAGGAATTTAAAGATGTAAGAGCATCATTTGGGGAAGTAGGAAAAACAATTATAATGAACAACTTACGAACATACCTCCTCAACAAGACGACGTCTCTTTCCTCCACCAGTACGGTTGGATCTGCTAGAACTGAACTGCGGCAACACTGCTCCTGAAAAAGAGTTTGCAACTAGCCTGCAACAACATAAGGCAGCATCCCTCCGTGTAGCACCATCCTCATCTTCCAAATAGATTACAACAGATTCTCTTGCAAATTCAAGAAGTTCATGGCCCTATACCAGAAATTGTTAAATGTAGAACAGATTAAATACATGAAGTAGAGTAAAAGTATACAAAACAACCTTGAAATTGAAGCGTGCAAGAGTCTGCAATGCAAGCTGTACTAAGGCTGAGCCACTAAGATCTGAAACTTGCTGAGGATTACTTATCACATTTCCACGAACTACCACACTGCCTGGCCTGGGTTGAGGATAATGAGGCCTTGAAAGAGCCATAGAAATGCATTCAAGCAAGCGTACTTGAATGGTAGGCAACAGTGATGGGATACTGAAATAACCAAAAAAGCATATAGATTATTAAATTTCATTGGAAGACCCAAACAAATTTGAAGTGTTATATGATATCACAGTACACTAGTGTACCTGGCAGTTATTTGCTCAAGTGCTTCTACAAGTGTAGGAGAAAGACCAGCAGAAAACATAGCATCCAAAAGACTACGAACATGATGTTCCATAGCAGGTCCCATGGATTTTGCAAAGCTTCCCACACAAGCCAAGGCCTCAAGTGAGGGTCTCCCTCTACGAGGAGCAATCTACAAATCAGATAAGATGTGAAGGTTCAGAGACCCTGTTAACAATCAAAGAATGACGTAAAACAAATCAGTTGACAGCATTGATGGCATACAGCATCACGCAAATGAGATGTAATTGTTGGTAAATAGTGGACAAGTTCCCCATCCAAAGCACCAGCCATTTCTCCAAGAGCTATGAACCCACTGGCACGCTCAGCTGGTATTCGCAAAACAGCAAGAATATGATTCATGCAGATCTGTCGAAGAGATTACAATTGCTGTAAATAACTCGTTCGCCAAAGGGTTGTGCTTATGTAAATATTACATAATGTTAGACAAGGCTCTAGTAACATGGAAAATGAATTAAAGAGAAGCCCTAGCCCAACAAGGCAACAAGGGGCTTCCCTGTACAAGTTTTAGCATGTTACTAGTGTAGACATGTGAATGTTCATGCCAAAGATATAGCTTAGTTTGCAATGACAACCTCCAAGGTTAATACGGGCCTCCATGGGCCCGAGGCCCAAGTCTACATAAACATGAAAGCCCAATTAGGTCCATGCCCTATTGTAATAGGATGGTCCCTTAGGAAAAACACTAACTCTTACATAATGAAGCATGTATGTGAGTTAACCCTAACCCAACACCCCATTTACATGGGATTGGTTAGCAAAATGGGTTGAGGTGGCAGCCCTAATCCTAAGCTATAAATAGCCTTACCCAGGGAGAAGGAGGCTTTCTTCTCTCTTTCTCTCTCTCTTGACAATAACACCAACATACTTGAGAGTTCTCACAAGCTCACACTAACAATTGAGAATAGCAAACAATCACAAGCTCTTGTAAACTCCAACTCTACTTCAACATCAAAAGAGGAGAAAAAAGGAAAGAATCTTCTTAGTTCTTTACTTCACACTTGAATTCAAGCTCTTCCAACATCAAGCCACTACGAAAAAGCCCTACTTAGAGAAGCATTCTTCACAGACGATCAAGCACAAATCCTGAAGCGAAGAAATCTACATCAGTTCTTCAAAAGCACCAAAATCAAGGAAATCTACATCAGCACTTTGAGAATCACGAGAAACACACCAATGGCCCTCATCTTCATCACTTTTGACCAATAACCAGAGGTTGCTCACATCGTCGAGCAAAATAAACAAGAGTTAAATCGCTTGTATTTTTCTTTATTAAAAAAATCATTTTTTTTTGTAATTTGTTTACATATTTTGTGTTAATCAAATACACAAAATTTAAAAGAATTTTGTAATAAAGAAAATACAAGAAATTTAACTCTCTTTGGTTCTATTCGATGACGTGAGCAACCTCTGATTAACGGTGGAAAATGATGAAGACAAGGGCCATGGCATGTTTCTTGTGCTTCTCAAAGTGTTGATATAAATTTCCTAGGTTTTGGTATTTTTGAAGAGTTGATGTATCCTCACATTAGGCTTCACACTTGATCGGTTGTGAAGAATGCTTCTTTAGAAAGGGCCTTTCCATAGTGGCTTGATCTTCTTGGGAGAGCTTGGATCTAAGTATGAAGTAGAGAACAAAGAAGCTTATTTCCTTTTTGTTCTTCTCTCTAGATATTGAAGTAGAGTTGGAGTTTTTAAGAGCTTGTGATTGCTTGCAATTCCCATGTGATAGTGTGAGATTGTGAGAACTCTCAAGTACGTTGGTGTGATTGTCAAAGAGAGAGTAATTTCTCCCTAGACAAGGCTATTTATAGCTTAGGATTAGGCTGCCACCTCAGTCCACTTTGTTAACCAATCCCATGTAAGTGGAGTGTTGGATTAAGGTTAACTCCCTCCCATACATGCTCCATTATGTAGGAGTTAGTGGTTTTGCTTTTGCCAAATAAACCATCCTATTACAATAGGACATGGACCTAATTGTTCTTAGTACACTTGGATCCTTGGGCCATGTGTCATGTTTGCATAGACTTGGGCCTTGGGTCTGCGGAGGCCCATATTAAGATTGGAGGCTACCATGTAAACTAAGCCCACATATTTGGTTCAGAAATTGCATGTCTACAACTTCAATTAAATGACCCCCATCAAACTGCATACGAACCGTTAGATAATTTGTAACAAAACGGTCACGCAAAAAGTGAGCAATACGAGGTAGCAGTGATGTAATGCTAAGGCGAACAAGCCGATCCCGGTGCTCCAAGTACCTAAGAACAATCTCTGCCACTTCCCTATACCTAGACATCATAAACTCGCCAGTGTTCCTGGAAATAACACAATGTTCAAAAATAGATATTAAAACATTACATGTATTAAAGGGCAGATGCAGAGAGAGAGAGAGAGAAATTATTAATAGCTGGTTGGAATGTATGTGATAATATGAAAATAGCAAATTCCAATGATTTATTACCAACGTCAGGATACATGCCAGTATTTAGCATCTAGGCAACAGATTTTCTTTTTTTGGTCATTGGACTGGGTAATAGATTTGATCAAATACAAACTCAGATAAATATCAGTCTTATACTGAACACACAGAAGAACTGATAGATGGATAAATTTACCTTTGGTAGTATAGGTTTATTAGTACAAAAACCAACTAAGTTGTTATCTAAGTAAAACATGATAAGGGAGTTTGAGTAGGGGTTTTGGATCTTCATTGTAATCTTCTGTTTAATTAGGGTGGCATTGTTTCTTTGTTTCCTCTCTCAAGTTACTGCTTGTCACCTTGTATCTTCTTTTTTTCTTTTACTCCCCCCCCCCCCAAAAAAAAAAAACACAAAAACTTCCACCCCTTCAAAAGTTTGTATGCCATCATCAACATAAGGTAATCAACTTATGGACTTCATCTAAAAGATTTTCTAGGAAAAAAATTAACCCAATCAAATGATCTACGTACCTAAACAATTTGATCAATTCTCCATGGACAACAATGTGAAATGAGAAGAGTTCATAAAAGTCAGCTTTCAAATGATTTCAAGCTTGTTCATATCCAAGATGCCCAAATGAAGCCCAATGTTGTGTATGTTTTTTTACAAGTCCCAATGGTTGTATGCTTCACAATTTAGAGAAACAAATCTATGCACCTAGTTACTACAATAAGCATGGATAACCAGGATTACTGAATATCTCTCTTCTATAGCTTAAAAGGACAAAATTAGGCTGATTAGTCAGCATGCATACCCATTAGGCCATTAATTGAGAGAAAATATGGCCATCCTTACCCACCTTAGAAGTTCCCCAACTGCAAGAAGAGAACCATGTATGCTGTGAACTGGAGCATTTCTACCCAATCCATCTTGTGTAGCCTCAAACATTCGGTAATACCTGATAAAATTCATAAAAATAATTATTTAATTAATTAAATGTTTCCCAGTTACTAAAACAATAGCAATATTGCATCATGAGTATAAAAACAAACTATTCACTAATAAAACAATCATAACTATCAAATACAAATACCAGACGCCGTTTTTATCAATATACAAATTCCACAGGCATTAAACAAAATCAAGCTGTAACAGAGACATAAATCATGTATAACCATACAAAGGAGATTTACACAGTGCAAGAAATGTCTGTCCTACTTCCTCCTGAAACAGTTAAGCTTGGATTCTATAATACCTTTCAGTTGTTACAAGGATGGGAGGAAGAAAGAAAAAAGCAATTCACTGAGGGCATAAAGAATTCCAATAAAAAGTAAATAATAGATGTGTGTAAAAACATCCATACACATAGATTGATATATTAGATAAAGCAATAGAGAAATAAACAGCACTATTGGGTTTGCTACGGAGCATTGATGATAGGGATAACATGGACCAGGAAGCAAATACACAATGAATCATTTAGCTATATAATCAAGTTACACATAAAAATACAATATTCAGAAAATGGAAGAAGTGAACACCCACCTAAACATATAATGCCTCCATTACAATTATATCACAAAAAGACTGAGAAAACAACACTGTTCTAATCAGACAAGTCATCCTACCATATGGCAGAAAAAAAGGATCTCAACCAGACAAGAAGCTTAACTGACCCAATCAGGGTACTTTTTGAATGCATACATGCCTGTACTATGTAAAAGTATACTTATAAACCATTGGCAACAAAAGATTGTCCTGTACATTGGATTCACTTTTTAGCATCCCTTCCATTGTACATGACATACTCTTTTCACTCTCAAAAAAGTGATACCCGACAAATTGAAACAATAATCGAAAATGTATGTCGTAGAAAAGAATCTAGATAATTCAGAAATATATGAATTACACTGCAGTTGTATCAAAGCAACTGACACAAGAATATGAAAAACATGGATATCCACAGCACCCATAGGACTGAAAATTTCTTCCAATAGGACCAAGATGAGGAGGAACAAGAAACATTTATGACATGCATTGCTTGAGTATGATATAAGACCGTAGTCAGATGCACTACTGAGAACAAAAGTATAAAAGTTTTAAATCTTAACATCTACATCAAGTTTTCATGCATAAAAGTAAATAAACAACAAGAAACTTAATATTTTTATTGGCTTCTTTATACAAAAAAAAAGATGAATTGTTTAACTCACCACTGCACACGCCAACGTGTTTCACGTTTTTCAATAACACGAAGACAAGCACGCAATGCCTCTACAGCCCGTTCACGTACTGCTAATGTTGGATCCCTCAGTGCGACCCAGATGGCATCCACAAATTCAGGAACATGGACATTGAAGACTGTTGATGCATTTTCTGCCATTTCCTACCATTTGGAAATATGTACACCCAAGAACACACAAATGCACACAGAACAAGTCAGGCCATAATATTGGTAATATAGGTAAAGAAGACACTTTTCAAAATCTCAATTGGAGATTCTAAAAAAGCAAATTTGAGTTACAAAAATTATTTAAAAAGTTTGTGATATTAGCATTCATCTTAGTTGAATATATAATTCTTAAAATAGAACTACCCCACATAAAAGGGGAAAATAAATGTTTTAAAATAAATGGAGCAGCAGTCAATATTTCATGGTCTCAAATTTAATAATTGCAAATTACATGATGTTTGAGGTGTGGCCAGCTTTAGGAATAAGAGGGAAGCAAGTATCCCCAAAGGAATCAATCCCAAGTAGTTGGATGGTTCACCAGCACATGAACCTAGCTCATCTATTCCTTGACCAATTACAGAAAGCAGGGTACTTCACTTTTTAAGTAGATACTTATCCTGTTTCAAACATGTGAAAGGATGAAGCAGAAAACAGGCTTCCAGATCAAATATCACATAGGGATCCTCTGGATTCAACATGTTTTCACTTGTGTAGTCCATGTCAGCTTTTTTTTTTTTGACAAGTAAAGAGTCATATTCCATTAATTCAAAGATCAGTTACATGAGAATCCCCTTAGAGAGGCGCGAGGTGCTGCCTCTCCATACAGAAAACACAAAAACTACATCAAAAAAACATGCCTATTACAAAAGAAACAAATTACAGTTGCGCCCAGAACAATGTTTCCCTGTTTGTCCCTTGTTTTGCCAAGACATCAGCAAAAGCATTAGCTGATCTCCCAACCCACTGTACTGTTACAGACATATTCCTTGTCAGCCATTTAAAGTTCTTTATCTCATTCTTGTAGTCCCACGTGACATTCTCCGGATTATTTAACCAGTTCACCACTGTCTTAGAGTCCCCTTCAACCAGAAGCTGCTCCACACCCATTTCTTTTGCAAGAATTATTCCTTGTAWTGCAGCTAACAGCTCTGCCCTAATAGAGTTACCAACACCTAAAGGGCCAGAGTATAGTAAGACAGCCTCTCCAGTCTCATTCCTCAGTAGACATGTTCACAGGCCGGGTGGCCCGACAGCCCGGCCCAACCCCCAGACGAGCTTGAACACGCAAATGAGCCCACGGGCTTGACCTCGGACCAAAAAGCCCAGCCCACAATAAATTCGAGTCGGGCTCGGGATTTGCCAAAATAGCCCGGCCTTGACCGACCTATAGACTAAACCCAAAAACCCTAATATCCTAAGTAACCCTTCTCATTCATCTCTTTCCACATTTCCTGTTAGCCGAACTGCCTAGTGTCGAACCTCTCTTCTCTTCACATCCTCCTCACACTCTCAAGCAGCCGCAGAACCGAAGCAACAACTCCGGCAGAGAGTCTTCTCTCTCTCTCTCTCTCTCTCATACACGAACTGAATCCTCTTTTCACTGTCAAAATCGCATCTCACCGCGAACTGACTCCTTTTTTCACTGTCAAAATCGCATCTCACACACACACACACACACACACACAAGCGCAAACTCAGCACTGACGAACACAGTCAACGGCGGTGAGTTCTTTCTTCTATTAGGTCGCGCTTCGGGCACGGGCCCCGACTTTGGGCTTTTTATTAGAGCCGGGCTCAGGTCCGTTGGTCCGGCCGGGCTCGGGCCTAACAAAATCATGTTAATGAAGCATAAAAGCCCGGCCCGGCCCATGAACAGGTCTATTCCTCAATACACCTCCCAAACTAGAGGGACCCGAGTTGCCCTAGCTACTTCCATCAAAATTCAGCTTCAAAGAACCGTGAGGAGAGGGGACCCAGCTTGTCATTACCTTTATCTTTGAGGAGGAACTTGCTACTGATAACCAATCCCTCCAACAGTCAATAAAGGAGAAATGATCAAACAAATCCAAAGTCTTTAACCAATGTATTGCCCTATACAAAATGCAGTCCTTCAAAGCCTGACTGCTTCTCCCCTTTTCCTGGAAGATCCTGGCATTCCTTTCTTCCCAAACTGTCCATAACAACGTGCACACCTCCACATTTTCCTTCCTCTTTTTTGGGGCCAATAGAACATAGAAGGGTTAAAGATTGTACTTACTTCTGTTGGCATATCCCATCTACACCCAGACAAAGATAGAAGCCAAAACCAAAGTTCTGTAGTGACACTACAAAATAAAAATAAGTGATAACAGTCATCGCCATGAGATTTGCAAAGAATGCACCAGTTTGGAGAAATACATAGGAAGGGTCTTCTCTTTTGTAGGTTATCCATCGTGCTTAATTTACCATGTCACACTTCCCAACACAAAGCCATAACCTTTGGGGGAACCGGTCTACACCAGACTTCCAATCCATGTCAGCTTTTTAAACCAACCATTTCATGGATCTTTTCTTAAGTAATGGCAGTCATTGAAAGCTTTGATTATTACTTCTTTTTTGAAGAAAAAAATTACCTTGTTTGGCATGTTACATTGGCTATTGGATTGAAACTTACCCCATGAAAGTCCTTTTTGGAGTAGGAGAAATAAAGTAACTTCTTTGTTTGGACAAGAAAAGGAATTCTTGAAGCAAAGGTGAAGAAGTGAGAAGAGGAAGGGACCACAAAATTATGACTTTTTGCCAAGGAGATTTGATGGGCAAAGGTCTGGCTTGTTTCTTTTTCTTTTTCCAAAGAGCAACAGAGAGAGGATATTTACCCAACTTATCCTGCAGTCTTATCAATTAAGAAACCACTTTTCATTTGGAGAGAATACAAAGCAGATTAAGATGCAAGATCAAATGCAGAAAAAAGATTAAATAGTCCTTTGAGTTTCATAGAACAGCACCAAGAATTAAAAGTTGAAGCAACAAGAAGCTGTATAGCCAAAGAAACTTTACTTCATCAAGTTCAAAAAACTGACACTACTAAAATAGGCGTTGAATACTTCCTAGTTGACCTGCAGTCCAACTATGTAACATAGAAATCAAAAATAAAGAGCATAAATTGGTAACTTTTACATTTGTATACATACATATATATTATATCTACTACATAAAAGAAACATTTGCCTACTCAAGAGACTTTACTACAACAACTGCCTCACCTTGGTGTTTAAGGTATAAATACTTTTAGCTATAGCACAGCTAAATCATATCATATTATATAAACAAGGGGAAAGGTGTAAAAGTGCATCAGAAAATATCAATTTTCAATTCAGAGACTCATTAAATAGGTATACAGCCAACCACAATGGCAATGGAAGAGTAAGGTGTTCATTGCAATAAAGCTTCAACTAATAACCTTTTCCATATATCCTTCACAAGAGGCACCTTTTTCTACTTCCTCCTCTCGACTTCCATGGACAAAATAAAGCATCATCTCTCTCTAAGGCAATTCATTTACTCCTTTTTTTAAAAACATCTGTACCATTCCCTTCTATCCAATAACAGAAGAGTTTCTCATCACCAAACCACCCAAACCTAAACCTCCCTCCCTCCCTCCTAAAGCAAACCCTCTTCCAATTTAAGAGATGGATCCTTTTAGGATCCCTCCAGATCCCAAAGAAATTCCCTCATTGTCTTCTCTAATCTCTTTGCCACTAGGACCAGAACTTTGAAAATGGAAAGATAATACACCAATAAATTTGAAAGTGTGGGTTTGATCGACATGATCCTTTCTTCTCAAGACACCAGTAATTCTACCTTTTATTTTCATTCTTTCGTATTAGATCAATATTTATGGTTTTTAGTTGCTAAAAGCATGCTAGATCACAAGAAAAGGGTGAAAGAAGCTAAACTAGCCGATTTCTACATAAGATACCATTACCTAGTCACCTAAGTGAGGAGACACTCTTCCCAGCATCAACTTAGTGCCTTAACAACTTACCTTGTTCTTCAAATCCCTAAGTGAGGAGACACTCCCAAACAACACAACCCAATTGCCTTCCATATGCATTAAACATGCAACCTATTAGTTGTAAACATGTATATCTGAATGTAAGTACATATTTGCACATGTGTGCCTGCTTCTCAATGTATATCTGTGTGTTCATGCATATGAATGCTTGTGATTATATGTACATATTTACTCATGCATGCCTTCTTCCGAATGTATGTCCATCTATGCATTCATGTATATGTATGCTTATCTTTGCACTTACTTTCAAGATCAAGACAGCTGCAAAACGACGATACTCTATTCTGTCCCCACGAAGCCAATCCAATGCATTTTTCACCTGAAGGGAGTAAAAAACTTCATATTAAGTAATGACAACAAATACAGCTATACTATGAATGGTTTGGGAAGAAAGGAACTCAAGAATTTCCAAAGGGGAATGCAAAGCAAAAGAAAGTCTGCAAGAAAACATTCTAATTATGGTGGTAAACTGGTTAAAAACTTCTATATTATTTACTGATTTTACAGTGAATAATATATCAAGAGAGTGGAGGCTGATAGCTAACTCCTCATGGGTCAAGCTCAATTTCGATGGTTGCAGCCTTGGCAACCCAATTTACTTAGGATCTATAGGCCATGAGGATGTTATCATGGCCATCTACTCAGTATCTATAGGCCGATGGGAACTCAATGACAGCAGAGATATTGGCATTACTTTATGGATTAAGATATTGCAGATCACTCAACATCACAAACCTCCAAGTGGAAGGTGATTAAAATAATAAGGTGGATGCAAAACAACAGACCAGGATCACGGTGGTTTAGACAAAGTATGGGGGAGATCAGGCAGCTTTCAAAAGCCTTGAATACAAGATTCATTTGGATTCACAGATCTGCAATTGGCTTGGCTGATTCTCTTGCTAGGCAAGGGGTATATAGGGAGCAAATGTTTTGGGGAACAATGTAAAAGGGTTCTTTGTTTCCAAGCTCCTAATAGTAGATGGTTTAAACATCAGTTGTACATAGCAATTTTTTTCATAATTAATAAAGGTTTTCCTGTTACCCAGAAAAAAAAAAGGTAATGACAACATACTATTCCATTAGCTAAGAGAATTTATAAAAAAAAACAAACAAACAAACCTGGCGCTCTACTTCATCTGCAGTCATTGCCCCACCAGCTCTTGCCAGATGGCCAAGCACTGTACTAGCAAGTATTAGGATTTCCGGATCTCTCTTGGTCTCAAACACAGTCCGCATGTAATTGGAAAATTTTGAAACTTTGGAGGCACTCTCCCCAAGAGTCACATCTATCAACTCATCAATAGCTCTTAAAGCTCCCAAATTTTCAGCGACATCATTACTTTCTAGCAGGCTGGAAATACGATCATATAACTGATCCATGAAACGGGAAAAAGCTTCACCACTGAGATCACGAGCTTCTTCCTCTACATGTTTCCTTAGAGCCAATGCAGAACCATCCTGTACCCAAGATAACATATGCCCAAGCAAACCACAATATTTAGAAGTTATAAAACATATATGCACAAGCAAATAATAATAATAATAACAACAAAACAAAAGAAAAAGTAGCAAGTAAAACTTAAAATAGAATCTATGCATGAGCAGAAACTGAATATTTTAAAACTACAACTCTTTATTTTTCTATGGATAACTCAAGATATTGTCCTCAGAAGAATTTCTTGTTTTCTTTTTCTTCTTATAATCAAGAAGACCCATTGAGCAGAAATAGGACAAACAAAATATATAAAAGGGAAGAAAGCCTAAGGAAGGCAAAAGGGTTAAGTACCAAAAAAAAACATGAATTAGCCACCAAAAACAATATCAACACATTGATAATTATTTATCAGAAAGAAAAATCAACACCTTGATGAGCTGACACACATGATCCCTTAAAGCTCCGCCAAATAAAGATATTGCTAGAATGTAAGACAAAAGAGAAGTCATGGGAGCTTAGTGACCTTCTCAAAATCCTCAAAGATATGAGAAACTGAAATATTCTTATGCCACTTGATGCATCCAAAGAATTATTTATTCATGATCAACTCAATAACAAGATAGATACCATCTACAACTAATTCAGTCAACTTCAACTTTGGTGGTAGTAACCTTGTTAATGCAGGAAGCTCAGGAATAGGGGGAGTGTCTTTTTTACCAGCAAGAAAAATGTTAATTGAAATATGTGAAGCAAAGTTACAGTGGAGTGGTTGTCCAGTCACACAAAGATACAGAAACCAGAAAGAACAATGCCCAAAAAAAGCTGCTGCCTATAGACCCCCCTGCTTAGATAATGTCTTGACCAGCCCATTTGCAGTCCCTCTTGCCCATGTAAAAGTGGAATTCAGGTTCCTTGACAGGTTTTCTATTTCCCTTAAAGCATGCCTATAAAACCAAGGTACATTGCACCTAGTAGTGGTTCAAGAATACAACCAGTTTTGAATCCCCTTCAACTTCCAAGTTTTTTAAGTTTGATTGCTTAGCAAATTTTAGGCCTTGTAACAACACCATCAATTCAGCCTTCAGTGAATCTCCTACCCCTATAGGTCCGGAATGCATAGCCATCACCTAGCTTGAAGAGTCTCTAAACACACCACTAATACTTGTCATTCCTAGGTTTCCCATGGAGCTCCCATCAAAATTTAGTTTTATTTTATTACTTGTTGGGGGCTTCCATTCCATTACTTTTCTTTCCTTTCTTTGGAAGAATGTGCCACTTCATTCCACGCCCTTAATATATCAGTCACTGCAAAGCTTTGAAAAAGATCAAGTGTTTTTATCCAATGTGCAACTTTTATTTTCTAGTCTCCACAATTACCTCCTTCAACCTATATTTCTCATCGAAAATTCTTGCATTCCTTTCCTCCCAAATAGTTCACACCATGGCTGCCCTGACTATTTTCCACAAAAGTCTCCCCTCCTTCATTAGCTGCCTTAGGAAATTCGGATTGAAAAGACTCACTACATCATGAGGAGGAATCCACCTGCAACCAAAGAGAGAACAAAAAGACTCCCAAAGACAAAGCACAAAAGGCCAAAATATCGGTAAATGGGGTAAGGTTTCTCTATTTGCAGAGCATAGGAAGCACACGAGAGGAGAGGCATTTATTTGGCCTCCTCTTTTGAAGCATGTCACATGTGTTTACCTTTCCAAGAAAAATTTCCCAGCACAATGCTTGAACTTTGGGTGGGATGAGCTTACTCCATATCTCTTCCACCGAGAAGTTCTCCCCACTACAATAGAATGCAAAAGAATGTTGAAGAAAGAGGTACAAGTAAAAATACCAGAAGAACAAGTAGACCGAACACTAGTGTCCTCCACAGTTTGAACTACGAAAGCTGACTTAAGTCTGTCCAACAAATGAATAAAGGCCTCTTGCTCATTATCCCTCAACCCCCTTCTAAAGCCAAAATCCCAATTTAATCCGGGTGGAGAAAGGATAACAAATTTCGAGATAGGTTGAAGCTTGTAGCTTAACACTAAATAAAGATCAAGGAAAAGAGAACTGAAAGGAGTTTCAACCATCCAAAGATCTTCCCAAAAAAAAAAAAACTCGCCCCACATCCCACATCAAATCTGATGAAATTAATACAGATTGGATAGACCTCTTGAATTGCTTTCCAAAGAGAGTTTGAAGTTGAAAATGGGGCTACCTTTGCATCCCAGACATTGTTCATCATCCCATGAATGCCTTCAATAACCTTATGTCACAGCCTGTCTCTTTGCAGAGGAAACCTCCAAAGCCATTTTCCAAACAAAGATGTGTTCATGTGAATTAGGTTACCTATTCCTAGCCCTCCCTTCTCCTTTGTTTTACTAACTTGTTCCCATTTCACTAGATGGTCCATTTCCTCATCCAAAGGCTCCGATATAAAATCCCTCATAAGCTTCTATAGCTGTCCTATTATCCTACTTGGAATCCGAAAGGTGGAAAGAACGTAGATAGGTAAGTTGGCCAGAGTTGCTCTAATCAGAGTAGTTCTCCCCCCAATGAGATGTGATCCCTCTTCCAAAGAGCCAACCTTTTAGTGAATCTCTCTACCACCAATTCCTACAAAACTTCTTATCCTGAGTTCCCACCTAAAGGGAGCCCAAGATTCTCCATTGGCCACAACCTAATCTCACACCCTAGAATCCCCACCAACACACTCAAATCTTCTTCTTCCACATTAATCCCAACTACACACTTTTCCCCAGTTCACCCTCAACTTGGAAACAGACTTAGTTGTCAAGGCGACTAGGCGAGGCTAGGCGACCATGGGGGCGCCCAGGCGCCTAGGTGATGGAATCTATAAATATAAAATCTATAGATTTCAGCCATATAATCATATTCATATATATTAATGATAGGTTCGACTGTTAAAAACTGAAGTGAGAAGTGAGAACAATGACTAGATCAGTAAGGGAGGAGAGGAGTATAGGGAAATAAGCAAAAAAATGGACTCATGGGGCAGACGACTGATGACTGAGAGTGACTACTGACGACTGAGAACAGTCATGGACTCATGGGGCGGAGAAAGGGAGGACTGAGTAGTATAGGGGAGAGAAGATTAGAAGAACTTACCTGCTGGAGCTGAGGTGCGACGGGGTTGGGCTGGGGCTTGAAGTCTTCAGTTCTCCTCCCTCTCCAATCGAACCAAAAAAACCTTTACGACATAAAGAAAAAAAAAAGGCTGTATACTTGATCTTAATACTAAAATGATATCATATAACCAGTTTTAATTTAAAAGAAACAAACATCGAATAAAAATATCAATAATTTAAAAAATAATAATTTTTTAGATGAATGTAGGCGCCCGCTTAAGTCTCTGGGCGGGCGCCTAATATGCAAAACTGGTGGCATTTGGGCGAGGCGACCATGAAAAACTGCCTAGGCGTCGCCTTGACAACTATGGAAACAGATTCAAAGGAATTGATGAGCTCTTTCAGATTTCTTAGATTTTCTTAACTACCTCCCTCACAGCAAAGAATGATGTCATCTGTAAACTGCAAATGCATGGCTACCACCTCAAGCCTTCCTACCCCCCACCCTCTAAACAAAATAACTTGATCAGCCTTAATGATCATTCTACTCAGAACCTCTGCAATCAAGGCGAAGAGGAAGGAGGATAAGGGATCTCCTTGTCTCAAACCTCTTTTTGCTAAAAAAAATCTCTAGCCACACCATTAATCAAGATTGAGTAACGCATTACACTTAAACAGCCCTTATCCACATCCTCCAATGCCTCGGCCCAATTCTTTCTAGAATCTCAAGAAGGAATGTCCAATCAACAAAATCATAGGCCTTCTCTAGGTCAAACTTACACACCAGCCTCTTTCCTCTTTTCTGTTACACACTCATTTGCCACCATTTTTTATCAATATGATAATATTTTATTAGAGACAACTAAGTACAACAGGATGAGAAAGTTTTTCCCCAAAATACAGTTTTACAATTTTGCCCAAAACATTTGATGTCTCACATCACCTTGTTTTTTCTAGAGTATCCACCATCCCGTTTGTTGTTCTTCTCACCCATTTGAAAATAACATTCAATGAAGGCTCCTTGAATATTACACACTCATTTGCCACCAAATTTTGATTAACAATCCGCCTCCCTTCAATGAAGGCTCCTTGATATTGTGAAATTACCAAGGGTACACCTTCTTCAATCTCCCAACTAAAATTTTTGCTACAATTTCGTATAGACTTCCCACTGAGCTTATGGGTCGAAAGTCCTTTAGAGCTCTTGACTCCTTTTTCTTGGGAATCAAAGCAATGAATTTTGAGTTTATTCCTTGAGAAATTTCCCCTTCTTGATAAAACTCATTAAAAACTCACAACAAATCTCCTTTAATGATATCCCAATAATCCTAATAAAAGGCCATGGAGAAACCATCTGGCCCTGGAGTTTTGGATCTTTCCATTGAAAAAAACGCCTCTCTAATTTCCTCAAGGGTAAAGACATCCTCCAAGGCTACTGACGAGGCTTCTGGCACCCCATCTCAATCTAGATCTAGGGGGAGCATTTAGAAACTATGGAAGTGTCATCTTGGCCATGTATTCTGGTCCAATTGGTTTTGGGGATTAAAGAAGGGTTGACCTACTAGCAATTCCACATAGATTAAGATTGGGCAATAATCTGCACCTTAGACATATGGTGAAAGAAGGTGACTCTCAGGTTGTAGTAGGATGGATCAGAAACAACAGAATGGGCTCTAGGAAAATACAAACATTTAATGAGAAGCAACAGCTCTAGCTAGGGAATTGGGAACAACCTTTACCTGGACCAACAGCTCAGCAAACTACTTGACCAGGAAAGGAGTGCATATATCTCGATTTTAGGGGAACTGACTCCCTAGGGATGTAATACAAACATTTAATGAGAAGCAACAGCTCTAGCTAGGGAATTGGGAACAACTTTTACCTGGACCAACAGCTCAGCAAACTACATGACCAGGAAAGGAGTGCATATATCTCGATTTTAGGGGAACTGACTCCCTAGGGATGTAATATGCACCTTGTAAGTCAAGTGTTGCAAATCAGGGATAGGTAATGGGGCTAGCCTACCAATTGTATTGTAACTACCTAGATTTTTTCCTAAAAACAAAATATATTTCATGGGTTCAAAGACATTTATTAGAGAGGGGATATTGGCTTCCATGACAACAAGCTCTTTAAAACGGATTTCAAGGTTGATTAATTCATGATGTGTAGTCTTGCCAGGATATTGCTGATCAAAGAAAAAAAAATATATGATAGTCTTACCAGAAGAGGGTTTGGGAGGTGAGTTATATCCAGGACTACTACACCACGGTAAGTTTATTATTTTTAAGCTTCCTCCTATCTTGGAGGTGGTAGCCCTTTCTAAGGGTTCTTCGCCTTGCTTCCTTGCCTTAAGGTTGCAGGTGCTTGGGTAAATTAGAGCAGAATTAGGATGAGAGACTGGGAGATATCTCAATATGACCTTTTTAATTGCCTAGGGACCTCCTCCATAGTGCTATGAGAAATTGAGGAGGATGTCGCTCATACAATCAAAACGGGATGGGCAAAATTTAAGGATGCATCTGAAGTCCTGTGTGATAGAATAATACCACTTCAACTAAAAGGAAAATTTTTTATCCAAAAAATGAATGTGAAAAAAATGAAAATATTGAGACGGATGATTGGGAAAACTATAAAAGATGGGATCAGAAATTAGAATGACTGTAGGAACCTAGGAGTAGCCTCAGTAGGTGATAAAATGAGGGAAAGTAGACCAAGATGGTTTGGTCATGTTCAAACTAGACCATCTACAACCAAGGTTCAAAGTATCGATACGATATGCCCCGTATCAGGCATATCATATGGTATCTTTAGGGGTCTGAAACAACTATTTACAGGTAGCTGGAACCAACATTGGGTAATGGCCTTTTTCAGTTGCCAAGAATTATTGAAGTGAGAAAAGGGAACGCTATCCAAACTGCCATTGAAATATTGTTCACCAATTTAAGCTGATGGCGATCAGAACCTATCTTTTAACACTCAAACAACTTCACCGAACTAAATCAACAGGACAATCATTTAGCTTGTACAGTGAGACATCGATAAAAAACGGTTATAGTTTCCAGACTGTTACCCGAGATTGATCTATGAGGGGGCGAAAATGCAATAATTGCAGCAAAGAAACCTTGAATAGAAAAGGGGAACCAAAGGGGAAAAAACGAGTTGGAACGAACCTTGGGACTGCCTCTGGTGCATAGGTCCGCGAGGATCCGGTTGAGAGCATCCAGGCTTCCGCCACCACTAGCAGAAGCTGCGCCACCATAGCGAATGGAGGTTGCGGCGGCTGCCATGGTGTATCCCTTAGCTTGGTCTCGCAAGCATCTATCCCTCGTCGGATTAAGTGCAGAGAGATGAGTGTTCGTGGCGAGTTGCGCCTTGGCCTTCCGCTCTGTAGCTCCTTCTCTTGGTCCTTACAGAGTTGCAACTTTTCTCCTCCTCAGTCCTGAAGCCTCAAGACACCTAATTACCTAAAATGTTAAAGCACAACTTACGTGCGACACTGTTCGCTCCGGATCCTATGCGTTAGGACTCGCCTAAATATCCCGGTTAGTCCACACCATCGTGCGCCACATTAAAACGAGCCGCTCGGCTGCCGGCTAGTAACTCCTGAAATTGTACAACCCTGTATTGAGAATGGCTAAAATAAATCAAAGAAGCTGTAAATAAAAATGTCAATCGATTCCATAAATCAATTTGTTGTTCAACTCCAGGAAGCTCCTTGGTTAGAATTTTCCATTTGGATCTCCCTCTTTTTCACCATTCCTCTCACATCAGGGCAACCATCATTTATGCTTCAAGTAGTTCAGACTCCGGACTCCGGAGGATACCGCACAAGAGATAAGATCATGAATTTCAGCTTATTAGGAGAGAGGAAAAAAAAAAGAAAAACAAAGCGAATTAATTACAGTATCCATCTTCTCCATTAAATCCCGGAGTATGAAATCATTCTCTGTTTAAATTTCTATTTGGTATATGTAATGATAATTATGATAATCCTCGGTCTCAGACCACTGTCAAGCAAGAAGTGGAACTTCCCGTTTGCACCATAAGCTTTGCAATCCACCAACAGCTCTCCAGTATGACCTAGATATGCCCCCTTCCACCAATTTCTACACACCATCATGACTTATTGGAAGAAAAACAAAGAAGCAGAAGAAGCTCTGGAGTATACTCACCGTTACCGTTTGGTGGCGTTTGGAACTTGGAAGTGACGTGAGGATGAAAAGGGTTTAATCGGAGCTCAAGTTGAGAGATTTTGATCGCAGTGGGGGTGCGAAGTTGGGAAATTGGGTTTTCTTTTTGTTCTTTTCTCAAGGAAATGTTAAAAAAAATAAATATAAATTCAAACTCTTACCTTATCACCGCGAAGAGCACTTCGGATCGTGCACTCACAGGAATCCCCCTCCGAGTCTACAAGATGTTTTTGATAATATATGAAAAAATGGTAAATTTCTTAAACCTTTATAGTTTAGTTAATTGATTAAGTGTATCCTTATTGTTTGAAAATTGACTAACGCTACAATTGACTAACTCTATCTTTATCATTAACATCTATTAATATTCTCTCAAAACCTATACACATATGACATCAGGTGAAGTTTAATTTTTTTTTAAAACCCAATGCTACCCTTGGCCTTGTCCCCTTCCTCCTCCTACCTCTCTCTCTTTCCTTTATTTTCCTCCTACAGTCTCTGTCAACACCATATCACCAGAGATAACAGTACTGTAAAACAGAACAAAAAAAAAAAAAAAAAATTGTCGATCTTTTCACGATCAAGAACCTAAAAGAAAATACATTGAAGATGAGGGAAAAAAAACTACAAGGATGTTCTAAAAGATTTCTTTGAGCTTTAATATGAACAACATGAACAAAACAGATACGTATACTTTAAGGAATACCGTTCAATTTGGATTTATATACTATAGGGATGAGGAATTTTGTGTTATTGAAATTGAATATTCAAGGAATAACATTCAGTTCTATCTTTCTCTCTGCAAAATCCATAGAGGACGAAGGGAATTATCCAAAAAAAAATAGGAGATGGGCATAGATTTTTAAAGTTTACTTGTGGGTTTTGATGAGAAGGAAACAGAAAGAAGAAGTCCAATCTTTCTCTCTCTCTTCTTCCTCTAGGCAACGGCGATGGTAAATCCCTTTGAAGTGCAATCTCTCTCTTTCTTCTTCCTATGGACAACAACGGCGGCAACCCAACTCCCATCTCTCTCTCTCTCCCCTTCCTTTGAGTGGCAACGGCGGTAACCCCTCTAAAGTCTGATCTCTCTTCCTCTCTATCTTCTTCCTATGAGTGACAGCGACAACAACATCCCCTATGAAGTCCAATCTCTCTCTCTCTCTCCTACCTATGGGCAACGGCGGCGGCAACCCCTCTAAACTTCCACCTCTCTTTCTTCTTCCTTTGGGTGACGATGGCGGTTATCCCCTTTGAACTCCAATCTCTATTTCTCTCTCTTCTTCCCTTGAGCGACGGTGACAGCATTGCATTTTTTAAGCCCAGCGACATGAGTTACAGGGTCATCTTTGAGCTATGCATTTTTTAAGCCGCATGGCTCTTTAACCATTGCAAAACCAAATATTTTGGAACATAAAAGGGTAGTTTAAGCATTTTGCATGGGTTTTGATGGAGGTTAACGGTAAGGTAGAGTTATACAATTGTCATAAACAATAGGAAGGAGTAGCATCAGTCAATTTTTAAATAGTACGGGTACATTTAGTCAATCAACTAAACCATAAGGGTAGTTTAATAAATTTACCCTTTCTTAAATTATCCTTTTGGTTTAGCTAATTGATTAGTTATATCCTGTTTATAATTGCTTAGCTAATTGATTAGTCAATCAACTAATTGCTCTGTCTTCGTCTCCATCTCCATCTCCATTTTCCGTCTTTGTCTCTATTTTTGTATCCCCCTCCACCTCTGCCTTCTTTCCGTCTCCCTCTCTTAAATACATAGAAAAATTAGAATCTCATAATGAAAGCAGCACCATAAATCTCATGTGGAGCAGCGATTGTGTAAGCACTTGTAATATTTAGCAATCTATTCCTTCTTTCCTGGCATTGGTATTGTTGTGCTAGCAAAATGCTTGGACAAGACCCTTCAAACCCAAGGAAATACATACACACTTAATGCAAGTTCGCATAGTTGATTGTAGAATGTCCATTCCTTGTTGTCTTGATCATCTTCAATTCATACAAGATCTCTAGGCATTCAACATTTTTAGTCTTTGTCCTCTATATGATGGCATAAACAAGTTCATCCAATTTCTCTATACTATAATCAATTCTATGAATACGACCCTTTCTATCCTCCAATTTAGAGGCAAAAGCATGGTTTTTAGAAATGAACCGGTGATCGAATCAGTCAGGGGTATAGTTGCCGGTTCAAACGGTCTGACCGTTCCCAAATGGTCGGCCTGTTCTGATAAAAAAATAAAAATTTGGAAAACAGTCAAAACCATTCGAACAGTTTGAACGGTTTGAATGATTAATCGACTGGTTCAGCAGTTTGTTGATAAAAATCAATAATTTTGGGGGAAAAAGTGGTTTTAGAGGACAATGGAACCAGTCAGGTCTCGGTTTTTTTGGTCCAACTGTCCGATCCGGTTCAATTTGAAAACAGTGGGCAAAAGCATTCCCAAGACCAAGAGATGGATAGTGTTTTCCAAGATCTCCACATTCGGACGCCATTAATGCAGAAAGTTCACTTTGAGGGTCGTACTCATCATCCGGTGGCCCTAGGGTAAGTGCAGAATCCCATAATTTATGCATCATTGTGCTTGCCATGTCACTGGCAGCTCTAGAGCTCCACTCAACCATGGAAATTCAGCATGAGTAATATGCAGGATGTCCAGGCAAGAAGCAATATATCCTTCTTTATCAAGAACAAGAAAATGTAGAGTTCAGTCCTGAACGAGCCCAAAATGAAAAGGGCATTTTCAACCCTAAAAGGGTATTTTAGGAATACTACAAAAATATCACTTATGTGGTGTCACATGCAAAGGGTGTATGATGATGAAAAAATGGTAAGGGAGGTTTTTGACAACGGCTAGAAAACTTAAGGGTAGTTTAAGACAATATGTAAATAGTAAAGATACATTTAGTCAATTTCATAAATAATAGAGGTAGTTTAAGAAATTTACTCTACATGAAAAAAAAAATAAGGACTTTTGAATTCCAATCTCCCTCTGAAATCTAATTTGAAGCCCCCTCCTAGTCTACTAGTAGCCCCCCTATAAACCACATCCTATCCGTGAATTTGACATCAATCCACAGGTGCGATTCAGTCCACCCCTAGTCTTCTACTAGTAGCTCCACCTAGGGGTGGACTGAATGGTAAAACCCCCAAAAATTAAACAAGTTGAAATGGGGTCCGTTTGATAATGGCTAAAGTTGTTAAGCTGATTTCTTTTGTTTGTCTTATAATTATTAAATGATAAAAATTTCAATATATATTAATATACCCAACTTCAACTTCAGCAATTAAGAAACCATAACCTTTTTAAAACACTTACCCACTAAAATACAATTTGATAATCGTTTCAGTTCAGCATCTTCGGCTGTTATAAAACACATTGAAGCACAATGAGAGGCAGCACAACCCCTTGACTCCTCTAAGGTGGAGCGCCATAGAGGCCTAGACATCTTTCTTCACTGATCTTATATCCTTTTCAAACCTTTAGGCTGCGTTTGAAATCAGTGTAAAATGTCACCGGTGTAAAAATACACTAATGATGTTTTACACTGAACCATGAACGTGATTGTTGCTTTTTAAAAATAGCCGATAGATTTTACATTGATTATCGACATAAAACTCCACTCTATCCAAATGCATGCTAAACTGAATTGAAGTGGAGTTTTACGTCGATAATAATTACACCATCTTTCCAAACGCCTACGAAATTAAACCGATGTAAATTTTACATTAGTTCTTGATTTACATCGCATCCAAATGCAGCCTTAAGGATAAATTTTATTCATAAATTTTCAGATTATGAAACCATCGAATACAATCAGCAATAAAGTATAAAAAGCTACAATAGAAAGTTAGTGATGCAGCCTAAGACCCCCATAATTGTGATGAAAAGGAACCCAATTGTGTAATCATAGGACTACGATGCGAAAAATGACAATATTGAAGTGTATTGCAATTAATGAGTGACAAATAAGGACTTATTGTTGTAAAAAATAGTAAAGAAATAGCATATGGAACTTATCTATAATCGCTTTCCAAACCGAAGTTGTAGTGATTTGAAGTTGTTGCAGGAACACGAAACTGGGAACTGCAGGAAGATGGAGGGTTGAGTCATGCCACTCTCCTTAAAAGCGTATTTGCCCCCTACGGTGCAACCGGGTGATCGCAAACCAGTCAGCAAGATAAAATAGCCCACAGGCCACTGGTAGGCGTGCACTCGCTTACCAGACCTCCGCGAACTACACAAGATCGATGCTCAGATTTCTCAGAGAAAACAAGAATGTCGAAAATGGTGTGTGTGTGTGTGTGTGTAGGCTGGGTCGGCCAACACTCTTCTTATAGAGTGCTCCCATACCCAAATGGACACAGATGTGTCATTTCAGATAGGAGCCTATTCAGAATAGTGTACATGTTCGAAGAGGAACAAGGAGGAAGCACACGCCCACGCCTCGCATCGATCCAACCCGGCTCGGCTCGACGCACATGTGAAAAGCATCCCTAATCCTCCCTCACATGCATGGAATATCTATAGTCCTCTCCTCCTATGGGTCCCTACCCATAGAGGGAACAAACTACAAATATACTCCACTCCCACTCATTTCCCAAGCAATGTGGGAAAAAGGAGTCATTCAAGGGAGGAAAGGACAAAAAACAAGAAATGGATGAGAGAGATTATTGTAAATTTGAATCTCCCTCCAACAATCCCCTACAATATTCAAAATTATAAGAATATCGAACAATCTGAGCATCATAGTGAGAAAAGTATTCATGGTGATGTATTTTGGACTTCAATCAACACTTCGGTATGACAGGCTATGTTACAGAGTACGGGTGGAGTCAGACTCCTACAACCTTTCCTCCTTATTGTAACCAGCTAATCGGCTAACCAACTCAACTCACCCGTTCTTTTGTTTTGGAACATTTCGGCCTTGTTCCCCTATTGGAATCATTAGTGTTTTTGAAAGTCAACCTTAGATCTCTCTCTTAGAAGCGGCCACACTTCACACTTACTTAGGTCAGTTATTAGTGTGCACAACTTACACTATTCCTAACTGATTAAGAGCCTCATGTTCAACCTTCTCAATCTGTAGTGAGCACTATCTTAC